AGCCGTGTCGTACCACACCACCGCCGTCTCCCCATCCCCCATGCGGAGGAACGACGGCCACGTTAAAAGGGCAGACACGTATGTGATGTGTAAAAAAATGGATATATATATATATATAAGAAACGACACGTGCGGAACTGTGTGCGTGTTTTTTTTTCTTTTCTTTTCTTCTTCTACGGTTTCTCTCTTTGTGTCGACTTCTTTTTCTTTTCAGTTCTTTCATGTAAGGAGTGTTTCCCAAATCCCTGTTCTTTTATTCGCTCCCTCCTTCTCCTCCCCCTCCGCTTCCCTTCTTTCCTTCGGTTCAGGCATGAAAGACGTAGTGCATTCCTCTCTTGGCGTACACAAAGACATTCTTCGACTTGGCGTAGTTGAGAATTTCCCTCCCAGGGACGGATGAGGAGCCAATGAAGAGGTGCGTGCGCCTCGACAAGAGTTTGGAATACATTTCCTTCAGCTGTCGGTGGCGGTCGCCCTCCGGCGGCTCCTTTGACCACTCCTTGAGGAACTGGTAGGTACCTGCTAAGTTGTTAATGTGTGCTGGAGAAAGGGAATTATGGCAACTCACCAGGCCAGAATCGTTGGACGCGCTTAAAATGCCGTCGAACCAGATGGTGGGCGGGACTTTGTCCGCACTTGCCGCATTAAACTTATTTCGCACCTCCATGTCAGCCGCACGAAAAACGAATTTGTAGTCTATAGGGTCTAGACGATGATCCATCGTGAACGGCGAGCCGGCGCTGCAGCAGATGGCTCTCATGGTGCTGTAGCTGGCGTTGTTTTTTGCGCGGCGGGGTAGCAGCTGGTAGAGGTTGTCTTCCTTATGAACGCTAAGAAGATCAGCCCAGCCATCCAGCAGCACAGGCTGCCCCACAGGGTGGTGCGGGGGAATCGTGCCAAACTGCCGCATGACGGCCTGCTGCTCCGGTGAAATGGCCTCAAACACAAGGGACTTTGCCTCATATGCGTCAAAGACACGATTATGAAGCTTTTGCTGCGTCACGTTCCCAGACATATCGCGAAGTCGGACCACCAAGGTCTGAAGCGTCGTATTCAGCAGCGACATCCCCTCGGCGCACTATCAAACCCCACCACTCCCTCCTTCTTAGGGTAGCTGCGTGAGGGAAAGAAGAAAAAGGGCAGTAAAAGAGGAAAAAACAAGCAAGAAAAAAAACAAATACAAATATAAAACAATAAGTTTCACTAATGCGAAGAAAGAAAGAGAGATACAGAACAAAACAGCAAATATATGTGTTATGGAGATGTTATTGTTTATTTTGGCAATACAAGTAATCCAACATCTACAAGGCCCCCAACTAGGTGGATATGGCAGGTGTATTCCCTAAAACACTTCTGCATTAACTTCCCCCACTTGCCCACCACCTCCTCGGGTTTCCACATCGGCTACACATGAAGTAGTTGTGCCTCTTGCCCAGTGGTAATGGCGATCCACTGTTCGTGTTGCGAGGACCACAAAATGTTGTTAATAGGGTGTTCACCCTTGTAGTTCATGATGCACTTTGGTGCCACACTCGGGAGTTCATTGATGTCCCAAATGTAGGCAGTGCCATCCTCACCAGCACTACAAAGATTTGTCACAGAGTTCGGCGCCCAGCAAACACTGTTAATCGGCTGCGGGCGGACGTTTCGCAAAACGCCCACAGGAAAGGCGGGAAAGCGGGTATCCAAGACAACAACTTCTGTTCCTTCAACACCAAAGGTGGATATGTACGTTTGGTCTAGCTTGTCCCACGCCACCCGCAGGAGCGGCGACAGCGAGTGTGACTCGTACAGAATAGTACAATGCTCAATCTCCCGCAAGTCAAATATGCGCACCGAGCCGTCCGCCCCGCAGCTGGCAAAAGTGTGGGTGCCCTTCGCAAATGCGATGTCGTAGACGTCCTTGTCATGGGCGATAAGTCGCGTGTTCTTCCCACTCTCAATGTCCCAAATGGTGACGGTGGTATCCACGCTACAGCAACCAACAATGTTGGGGTCGTCGCTGTTCCAATCACAGGAGGTGACCGGGAAGCAAAATTCATTCTGCTGCTTCCCGCTATCAAACACCGTCTTAAACACCACGTGTGAGTCTATGTGATCCTTTTTTGACGCCACTTTGCGCGGGTCATCACCCTCGCGGTGGTTATCCTCACTGCTACGTTCTGGGGGACCCTCCTTCACCTCCCACAACCGAAGATAATCGGCCGTTGTAATGATGAGATCTGTCGCGGTCTTTTCAGGGGCAAACATCACCTTGGTTGGCGGGTAGCAATGCTCCCACGTTGCTCTACATACGAGTTCCCCCTCTTCGTTTTTCTGCACAATATCCACATGATTTTTGTACTCCTGTATGTATGAGGAAACGGCAAAGCGAAAGGGCGCATTTTCTCGCGTGCTCCAGGAGAGACCGTTCGCCACCCATCCAGTGGGGTAGGACAAGATACTTGGCCGCTGTTGCTGATGCTGCATCGTCTTTGTGGGCTGAACACAGTTAGTGACAAAGCCACCAGCAACACAAGTCGCACAGCCCTCATAAAAGTAGGTAAAACAAAGGAAAACGAGAAAAGCAGAGGAGAAGGATGACGCAAAAACCCAGTGTACTTCGTCAGGGGAAATCAAATTCGTACAAAAGTGTCACCCAAGTGCGAGAAGGCTCCCAACCAGAGACGCCCTACAATGAACCCCCTTATATACATTCATTCTAGCAGAGTTGCCAGGGTATATCCCCCGCAGCTACGACTCCTCACTCACCCTCTTCCGTAGAGCCTCCACCTCCGCCTTGAGGCACGCATTCTCCTGCTGAAGTGCCTCGTAGTCTGCGGCGGAAGCGCCACCAAGCACCTTCTTAATGAAGTCCACCGGGTCCTCCGGCTTTTCCGGCTCCTCGTACAGGTTTACAAGCACACGCGTCAAGGTGTCGATCACCTGCTTCCGCTCGAGGTACTTGCGGAACTCCTCCTTCTTTGCTTCACTGGACTGATAAGACATGTCTTGCGGGCGTGTGCTTACCTTCACTTTCCTTCCTTTTTCGGCTCTGTAGACTGAACTGCCCGCGAAGACGCAGCAAACGAAGAAGAGACAACAACAACAAAAAGGAAAAAAAAAGGTCGTGCAAAGACGACCATGGTTTGTTTGTATAATCAGCTTCCGCCTCTCTTTCCGAAGAAGAGGAAGCGGAAAAAAACAGCTTCCGCGTCTATAGGGTACACCAGCGCCTACAGGCAGAGGCTGCTAACTACGGAGACACACATACTTCCAAATCACTGTTTTTTTTATTTGCTTTTCTTCCACACGGAAGCGCCGTGCAAAGACACCTCTGTTTGTAACGCAGCGACGCGGCTGTGTCGGCCCCACTTTTTTTTTTTTTACTTTGGTGATGCTGTTGTGCGCTCCTTCTTACCCTCAGGTTGCACCCAAGCAGAAAGAAGGGGAAAAACAAAACACACACCCACACACACGCGTGAGCACATGTATAAAACTAATCTTCCTTGTGGAGCTCCCGCCTCGGCAACGCCTTGCGGGGCTCGTCTCGCCGCACTAGCCGCTTGGGCGCCACATTCCACAGCCGCCAAATTACTGCCAGAATCGCGACAATGTGTGCGATGACCACGACAGCGACGAAGCACCACACACCGTACATCTCCAATGCCATTTTCTTTTTGCAGGAAAACAGCTTTTGGGGGGTTGCTGGCTGCAGCGGCCGAAAACACGAAGTAGGTGGCCGCAAACGAATCAGTAGACAGGCGCAGCAACTGCAGCAATATACATACGCCGCAACACAGACACAGAGACTAACAAGGAGAAAAGAAAAATGCAAGAGAAGGAAAAAGTAAAAAAAAGCAGTATTAAGAACGGGTGGAAATATGTTACCACAACGTCTTCTGAGGGCCCAGTTCACATGTTAAGGGTCTTACGAAGCCGGACGCATGAGCATCCAGCTTCCCCCCATCCCCCGCCTCCCCGCCCTTTTTTTAAATTTTTCCATTCAGTTGAGTGGGTTTGGGGTCGCTTAGTTAAAAGGCCCGTTTCACATCAACAACAACAACGAGCCTGTACACACCATTATACACGGACATATACCGCGTAGTGCTTTTGCAGCCCCTTTCGCGCCGTGCGTTGCGCGTCCTCACTAGCGTCCGTGGCGTGGTTCAGCACCTTCCGCGTCATGGCGTCGCTTTGCAGCTCCTCCTCGCTCAGCCGCCGGAAGAGTGGGCATCCGTCGAGGCACGACACCATCCATTGCTCCAGCTCCTCGACATCTGACACGGTGAAGAGCAGCCCTCCCAGCTTCAACCAGTAGGCGTACTCGTGAACGAGCCCGGGTGAGATAATGCGCCGACGAACATTCTTCTTCTTCCAGTGAGGGTCCGGGTAGCAGAAGAAGAGGGCCCGCAGCTGCCCCTTACGGAAGCAGTTCGACCCAAATTTCATCACATTCATCTGCTCAAACCAGAGATTGCGGAAGTGGTGGGAAGAGCCGGCAGCGGCCTCTCGAAGACCCAGCGTTTTTTCTTGGGCAAACTTGACCACCTTCGGGCGTATCTCAAGACCGAGCATGCACGCATCGGGAAACTCCTGCGCAAGTACGAAGAGCATGCCGCCGAACGCACACCCCACATCGACAATCTCAACTACCGGCTTGGGCATCGCGGGAAACAAGTCGACGCACCGGCGCTCCAACTCTAACGGACTATCGGGATGGACATCACTGTTTTCTGCCAGCGGGTTCCGATGGGGACGAGTGCGGATCGGCAGGCGGGTCCACTTCGGTGGGAGGGCGCTTGCCATTTCCCAAACCACCACACACCACCTGCGACAGAAGGACCCTTACAGCCGCAACAAGAATGAGGGGTAGTAAGTAAAAAAAAATAGCTTCATCTGCAAGAGAAAGACTCGGACAACACCTCGCAGACCCCAAGCAAATACAAGCAGAAAAAGCAAAAAAAGAAAGAAAGAAGAAACGACCCAAAAAATCCCACCGCCGCTCTTTCTCCTTCTATGAACCTTCGATAGCAATGCTTTTTTTGGCATGCATCTGCTTGAGTCTCCTCTTCAATTGTGCATTTTCAGCCACTAACTGCTCCAGTTCCATCGTAACTCGTCCAAGAACGGTATTACACTCTTCTTGTTCTGCCTGGTGCCTGCGCCTGGCAACTGCCAATTCCGACTGGAGTTCCTCCCGCTCCCTCTCACTGCGCCTCTCCAACACCCGGTAGTTTTCCTCTAATATCGCCAGCTCCTTGTTGAGCGCTCCAATTGTCATTTCATTTGCCTTTAGCTGGGGGATCAACTCTTCCTCATTGACACCGCCCACGGCAGCACCGTTATTGTCCGACGCCAAAGAGCCTGGCTGCAGCCGCGTCGGCGACCCACTAGACAAACGCAGCAGTTCTATAGTTCGATCCTGACGCGCCACGGTTTCCCGCAGCCGATGCAGCTCCCCAACGCTCTTGCGTTCCCTACTCAGGTCCTCCTCAAGTAACGCAAGGCGATGCAACACCCCCCGCTTTTCGTCCTCACGGAGCATGAGCTCCTGCGTGAGCGCCGCCACTTTTTGACGCAGCTCCCGAAGTTCATCTCCGTGATTCACGGACACAGAGCGCGAGGCACGAAGCTTCAAAACAACATCATTCATATGAAGCAAAGTGTCATTGAGCTTCTCTACCAGTTTATCCTTCTCTTCCAGGAGGGCGCGAAGCAGCACGTAAGCCTCTTCAATGGAGAAAAAGTCTGCAGTGTCTAACAGCATCTGTCGAATCCCAGTCTCAATGTCACCAGATATGGGGGGCATTCTCGCTAATATGCCTCGAAAGGAGGTGGAATTGTTCGCACTAAGACTCTCCTCAACACGCTCAAGAGTCGAGCTGCGAGTCCCAGCTACCGCCGGCACCTTACGCACCACCGCACTAAACGTCCCCAAAGCGGGAAGGATGACACGGCGTTCCAATAGCGAGAGGTACTCGGTCAAAGACACCAAGGAAGCGCATGTGTCGGAAACCAGTCGATCACGTTCCCTTAGTTCTGCCGTCAACTCCTGCTCAATCTGGTCGCGTTGGCGCTCCACAAAGACGCACTCATCGATCACCTCGGAGAGGCTCTGTTTTGCTCTATGAAGCTCCTCAACAAGCTTGGCGGGGTAGGCGTCCGCCATAATTCACCTGACAGTTCGTCGCCCCTTCTTCCTTTCTTTTACGGTGCAATGTTAGCCTACACGACAAACACGCAGGGGGGGGGGGGGAAATGGGCAAGGGCCCGAGGGAGCATAAGAAATCCAAAGTACCAATTGCAGGAAAGCGGGGGTTCACAACTTAACTCAGCCCCATTCAAAAATATACATCGCTCTTTGTGCAAGACACATGTCCAGGCACACACCTGCGTTCCTTGTTTGCTCTTCCTCTCCATTCGCTTATCCTCTTCTCTTAGCGCCCTGGAGCAATGCGGGTGTTTCGTCGAAAACTCTCGTCATGCACACTTACCCGACTGATGGGCCCTTTCCTGCGACTGATGACGGTGCTGTCGCTCCGTGGACGTGAATGAAAGGCCACGTCCTGCGTCGACACTCCCCCTTGCAGCTCCTCCATGACCTCGCGCATGTCTTCCGAGTAGCGCGCCACCACGTCTGAGGCCTTCACGTGGTGGGTCCAGATAAACTCATTATTTTCGGCACTACTTTGCGTTTTCGCGTCCCTGCCGTCACCCAGTTGGCAGTGCTCGTGCATCGCTACCTGTCGCCGCACTTTATTGGGCAGGCGGTCCAACGTAATACGCCCCATATTTCCCATCTGGAAATCGTGTATCAAAAACATCTGCGCCCGTACAGGGTCTATATTGCCCAAATCAGTTTGCCCACTGGTGCCGCTGCGCTCACAGATCATTGCAATGCAGTCGTCAAAGCTGATTGGGGCGCGTGGGAGGTGCAAACACTCTGCCATGTGCTCCGCAATACCTGCGGCTGTTAGGACGTCGTAAATGTAGCGGGCCACAACACTACGAGGAAGTGTGATGTCATTCGTGGGTATAATCCCACACGCAGCCAACTTTAACCCCGACTCCTTTGAAAAACACCCCGGAAGAGTAAGACCAGGGGAGTCGTAGAGGACAATATTAGGATCACGACACACCGGAACGAGCTTCACACCTTTCGTCGTGCCGGGAGAAATACTCACAGCTTCCGGCGTACGGGGACGCCTAAAATCCTCGCGATGGAACTGATATTCATGTGCCAATCGTAAGGAGTTGATGAGGGTTGACTTGCCGACGTTGGGCATCCCAACCACAAGTCCAACATGCGCGGTCGTCTTAAATTGTTGCGCGGGTAAAATGTGTGTCACAAATCGCTGCACGGCCTCAACCGTGTCCCGCCAACTTCTCTTAGCGCTCGTGAAGAGAGCAAAGCTGCCCGTCTTCTCGTAGTACTGTTGTATGGTGCGGTTGCAATCTTCATTAGACATCTCTGCCTTGTTGAAGACAATGAGCCTCGGCCGGCCGGAGATGATCTTCCGCAGGTTGGGGTTTTCCGTCGAAAACGGCAGTCGTGCATCCCGTATTTCCAGCACGAAATCCGCGTCCTTCACCTTCTCGGTCAAGGACTGCGAGGCAAGTTGCATGTGCCCCAGGTACCACGCCGGGCCCTTCTCGCCAATGTCAACAAATGCCTCGCGAGACACGCCCTTCCTTGCGGAGTGGTCCATGGCTTCCTTGTATGACGCCAGTGTCCGCTTCACTCGGCGCATAAAAGCGGGATCAAAGACATTGCGGCAGCAGACACCATGCCGCATCCTCCCCCTCTCCCTTGTGCCGGTCTTCGCCCTCTGTTTCCGCGGCGAGAGCGGATGGGAAGGGGTTCTAACAGCGACGCCGGGCTGGCGACGATGGCAGAGGGGAGAAAGAAAGACAGGGAAAAGGAAGCAAAGAAACTGCGCAACAGACGTGAGGGAGAGACGCAGACTAAAAACGAACAAACAAACAAATTCCCCGCAAGCGGCGCGACGCCGAGGGCAAAGAGCCTTAACGCAGAAAAAGAGAAACGCCCCAAATTCACCACTGCGCTCTGGCACAAGCATACACACACACACACACACCAGAAGAAGAAAATCTACTACAAGAGGGCGGCCGCAGGGCGGGTCGCTTAAATGGATCCCGGGGCGGAACGGGAGGGGGGAGGTGGTTCGCAGAGGCGGGAAACAACCAACGGCGAGAAGCGGTGGGGGAAGCTCAGACAAAAATAAAACAAAAATAAATACACAGCAAAAGGAAAAAAAAATACACCATAACCGCAACTCACTCCCATCTCCCCTGAGCCAGCAGTTGTAGAGAAAACTTGACAGCAAGGAGGGAGAACAACAGAAGGTGATTGCGTTGGGTGGAAGGGCAAAAAAAAAAGAGGTGAAAGTGAGAGAGAGAGAGAGAGACGGGAGGAGGTTGATCAGGTAACGAGATACACTCACCTCGTTCGTCACCCCGCGTTCACTCCTCTACCTTCACTTCCTTCTGCCCTCCCCGTCCACCCACCCAGCCACACACACACGCACTTCCTTTTCTTTTACGCGTCCCACGCGCGGCAGGCCAGCTTTGCATGTCGGTGCATTGCCCTGGTTTGGTTTGAGCAAAAGTTTAACAAATAAAAGGCAGGCAAACACCAAAACACAGAGAGGCTCCAAGTAAAGGTCCGACCTGGCGACGCGCATAGATGCCGGAAGTTACGAAAATATTTCGGTAGTAGTCGTTGCGTTCGAGTAGCGGAACATGTGCCTGGATGAGGCCCTGTCCCCCCCTACTCCTAGAAACAGGCAGAGTACAACAGTAAAGGAGACGACGGTTTGGTTTCAGTGTCACCCAGGCATCCTGCATCGGAGAGCAGGCTTCTCAACCAACCCCATACACCTACGCAAAAAAAAAACGAACTCAAAACGCATTCTGAAATAAACTGGTTACTTCTAAAGCGACGAAGCGGAGGTCTTTAACAAGGCCCACAGTCGCCGGACTCCCTCGCATGAATTGTATCGGTAGCAGTACAAGTAGCGGTAGTAGTGGTGGAAGTACGGTGGAAAGAGCGACGAACAAAAAAACAACAACAATAAAAAAAAACTGCGACCACCGCGTTCCAAAGTAGCACCTTTGGAAACAAAACAAAACCACAAGTAATGGGCAAGTACACAAAATATTTCAGCGAAAAGCCCTGTCATCCAGCTATCCTCATTGGGGTTCACATTTCTTGCGGAGGCTTGTAAACATAATGGGGCGGACCGCCCAAGGCACAGGCCCTAGGCGGATGAAAATTAAGTATCCTTGACAGGGCATTATTGATGCGGAAATATCAAACAAACAAAGGAGTTGGGTGACAAAAATTCATTAGCAAACATCCTAACGCCACACACGCACCTGCGGCTCACGACAGAACTTGTTAGAAACGCACAAAGACCACAGGACGCTGTTGAACACAAAGCCACCCTTCAACTAGGTTTTGGAGGGAGAGAAAGAGAATAAAATAAAAAATGATTCCCACATGAATGACGAAAAAAAAGCCACGCCGAGTGTGGAAGAGAGGAAGTGTGTGTGGGTGAGCATCAGAGTTGAATAAGAGGTGACGAAAAGGCTGACGCACCCAGAGCGAGAGGACATGGCACAAAGCACAGGC